AAATAAGAAAGGACAGAAACGGATGTAGGAAAAACAAGGCAAAACAAACATACAAACAGCAAAATTGGAAATTTTGTGTGACAGTCAGACTGAGGTTAGGAGAGAAAATAAGAAAAAGGCATGATAAGGAAAAAAATAAATAAAAATGTCAGATAGTATTAAATATGATTTTTGATAAGAATAATACCCAAGAAAAACAACAAAAAAACACTGGTGGAGTTTATTGCAAAACATTTCCTGTCCTGTTCTCTTCATCTACAGGTGTCCCTAAAGTCCTGAACACACTGAATTCGATTTTGAGTCCTATCTGACAGAAAATTGTGTCAGAGGAGGTTGTAGCATATAGCGCTCATTGAAAGTCAATGGGGATGAAAACGCCCAACACGATTTTCTCCAAGGGGACCTGCTTAGCTCCGACTGAGATAGATCCCAGGTCTATTTTATTAGGACTAAGCAGCAATTCAGCGGCAATTTCATGGATCTGACAGGAAGAGAGACGCTGTTACAAAGTAAAGCACATGTGCTTTGGGGGAAAATATTAAATTAAATTTGTTAATCACATGAGAAAACAGACAGTTTTGGAGACGCACATCGAGTTTATAGCAAGTGGGATGCATTCATGCAAAATCAATCAATTAATTATAAGGTGAAAAAAAAAAGTATTTTTATTTGGACAGAAAACAGATAAAGTAGTGGTCCTAGGGACAGAAAGCGCAGCTTATTTTTTTTTTTTCGAGGAGAAAATAAAAGCTTCAGGACAGAAAAAGGATATACAGTAGTAAAAAAAATTGATCTCTTTGAGCCGCACAAAAACAAAATAAGGAGTGGCAGACGGAGCAGCTTATCTCTTTCCCCTCTTTATCAAAAAAAGAAAAACAAACATTTCAGCTTTAACCAACTCCAGAGAACTCTGCAAGAATCACCTCTCACTGCCTGTCCGAACATCTGCCCTAATCCCCAAATCCCTCAATAACTATATACATACTGTAGATCCGGGACTAGATGGTGGACTTTACAGTAAACTCAGTTAACCGACTGTTCAGACAGATGATTACTGCATTTCGCTCCCCATTGACCTTGTAACTCCGCCTCCCCGCACGGTACCTGCACCATCTTAATTATTTGTTGTCACCGCAACAAATCCGAAGATGCTTTGCGAGGAGAGCTCTTGCAAGCAATCTGGGATATATCTGCTCGTCTAGTCACCACAAATGATCCCTATTCTTCAAGGTGTATTGTGGGAAATTTCAAGTCCACTTCTTTTTCATCCACTAGACCAGGGGTCTAGTTTTCCAGGCCAATGACCCCCAAACTGATGGTGAGATGGAGCGGGAACCCCCTAATTATATATATTGTATGATATTGTGTTATATGAAGCTGGTCCTATAGTCACTATTGCCTATGGAGTAATGTAACAAAAGTAATTTCTCCCTGGGATTATTAAAGTACACTATATTGCCAAAAGTATTTGCTCACCTGCCTTGACTCACATATGAGCTTAAGTGACATCCCGTTCCTAATCCATAGGGTTCAATATGACGTCGGTCCACCCTTTGCAGCTAGAACAGCTTCAACTCTTCTGGGAAGGCTGTCCACAAGGTTTAGGAGTGTGTTTATGGGAATTTTTGACCATTCTTCCAGAAGCGCATTTGTGAGGTTGCACACTGATGTTGGACGAGAAGGCCTGGCTCTCAGTCTCCGCTCTAATTCATCCCAAAGGTGTTCTATCGGGTTGAGGTCAGGACTCTGTGCAGGCCAGTCAAGTTCATCCACACCAGACTCTGTCATCCATGTCTTTATGGACCTTGCTTTGTGCACTGGTGCACAGTCATGTTGGAAGAGGAAGGGGCCAGCTCCAAACTGTTCCCACAAAGTTGGGAGCATGGAATTGTCCAAAATGTCTTGGGATGCTGAAGCATTCAGAGTTCCTTTCACTGGAACTAAGGGGCCAAGCCCAGCTCCTGAAAAACAACCCCACACCATAATCCCCCCTCCAACAAACTTTACACTTGGCACAATGCAGTCAGACAAGTACCGTTCTCCTGGCAACCGCCAAACCCAGACCCGTCCATCAGATTGCCAGATGGAGAAGCGCGATTCGTCACTCCAGAGAACGCGTCTCCACTGCTCTAGAGTCCAGTGGCGGCGTGCTTTACACCACCGCATCCGACGCTTTGCATTGCACTTGGTGATGTATGGCTTGGATGCAGCTGCTCGACCATGGAAACCCATTCCATGAAGCTCTCTGCGCACTGTTCTTGAGCTAATCTGAAGGCCACATGAAGTTTGGAGGTCTGTAGTGATTGACTCTGCAGAAAGTTGGCGACCTCTTCGCACTATGCGCGTCAGCATCCGCTGACCCCGCTCCGTCAGTTTACGTGGCCTACCACTTCGTGGCTGAGTTGCTGTCGTTCCCAAACACTTCCATTTTCTTATAATACAGCTGACAGTTGACTGTGGAATATTTAGGAGCGAGGAAATTTCACGACTGGATTTGTTGCACAGGTGGCATCCTATCACAGTTCCACGCTGGAATTCACTGAGCTCCTGAGAGCGACCCATTCTTTCACAAATGTTTGTAAAAACAGTCTGCATGCCTAGGTGCTTGAATTTATACACCTGTGGCCATGGAAGTGATTGGAACACCTGATTCCAATAATTTGGATGGGTGAGCAAATACTTTTGGCAATATAGTGTATTTCTGATTCTGATTCCTGGTTGATGGGACACAGGTGTTGTGAATGAAACGGGGACCAGCTTGAAAGAGCTCCTGTGTGTCACTGAATGTGTGAATTGATGGCTGAAAGACATCTTCTGCTTCCATTTATCTGTTTACTACAGTCTGTTGAATTCATGTTTTTGAAGAAATTTCAATTAGTAGAAAAAATTGCATGGGGAAGATGAAAAAAAAAGTCCAATCAACCAAAATTTTTGTGACCCCCATGCAGTACCTCAGTTTCAAGTAGTTCAAATTCAGTGCCTCCGTAGACCCCTAGGTGTCGCTGACCCTCTTTTTTTTAACATACACCTCATTATGTTTTTACTATAGGCCATTCCAAATTCTCTCTGTTCTGATTAGAGATGCAGCACAGACAAGACAGAAGTGGGGGAAAAAAGTCTCCACAGATCTGCTCACCCTGTCTAGTCAGAGCGCCTCTATAAAAAGTCATACGCAGTTGGTGTGTTCAGGCCTTAATAGGGACAAGAAATCATTTCATCTGCTTTTCTCTTCAATCCAGCAGGCTTTAGTTTTTAACTTTTTCTCAAAATATCTGTTTAATCAATGTCCGTTTTATTCCAAGTGAAGCAATACCAGCAGAACATTTAGTTGGAAGCAGCGATAATAAGATCATGGCTAAGTATTAGACCAACATTTAGACCAACACTTGTGAATAATGTGGTTTAGCCTATTTATTAAAAATACAAAACAAGGAATCTGTCTTTGTAACCTTTATAATAAGGAGTATTACTACTGTTTCAGGTGGGAACTTGCATGCAAACTGCAACTCTTATTTAACCTTGCACATACTGTAGGTTCCAGCACCCATCTTGTTACAAGACCAGCTGAACTGAAAGGTCAGTGATTTTGGTATCCTATTATGTTTCCATATACAACCAAAACATTTACAAATATCTACAGTATATTAAAACATTCATTGCAAATGTAATCAAGCACCACATATTTTGATCATCATTACTTTTTATGGATTTAAAAACAATTTTGACAATTCTTACAGAGAGCAACAAGTTAATCGTGTCTGTATGAGACATGTACTCAACAATTGTAAACTGTAAAGCAAATATGTACATTTTAAAAGGCAAATATTTTCAAAATACTGATTTTACAAAACTATTATTTTGCTGAGATCCCACCAAGTAATTGCTCTTCATCCCTGCAGTTATTGGGATGCTTGGCAAGATAGATGTGGCAATCGATGGGACTGGGACTATGGCAACCGGCTGGTGGATTTTAATTGGATATTTCTGGCACTCCGAGTCAGATTGATTGAGACTGGGAGAGTCGCAAGATCTTAATTTAGTCAGCCTCATATTGTTACCCTCGTGAGCAGTGAAAGGTTGTACAAATCAATTTCACTTCCTGCCATTTGTAAGGGAACGTACATTGAGCCAAAAGTCACAAAGATGATGCGCACATGCTGTTGCTTTCTGTGTCGGGTAACTTGGTTTGGTATGTTAATCTAAACACTACTTTCTTTTTGGTTAAAGCTTAGAATTTCATTTCAAATATTTAAGTATTTAAGCAATAAACAATTCACCCTTTTTTACATATTGTGACTGACAAATATATTCCTACTTTCAGAACTTCATTAACTGTTTTAACCTACAACAAAAATCCTTAATGTTTTTTATTTGGTAGGTTTATTTTATATTGTTTAAAGGGAATAAAATATTCAAAGCTTTGAACATCTTAACACCATCTTTTATTTTAATTAACGGCTTTCTAAAACTGTATCCAACTTAACATGTTTTTGATGGTTTATACTGTACAGGCTCCAGACCTAATGCAACATCATAAATGTCTAATGGTCTTCTAATGATCGTCACGCCATAAGGTTCATCTAGTTTAGCAGTTTTCTTGTTTTGTGTTCGATGTAATGAAGTTGAAACCCATCAAATGGTATGGGTTTGCTGTACTGATAAATATGAGACTTCTGATTGAATAATTAGTGTTTGCTAAAATGACATTTATGCAATAACATTGGCACAAGATGAAGCAGGTGTTACATATAGTATGCACATATTTTGTTTGAATGGCAAACTAGAGTACCAAGTCAGAAAAGTAATTTATCTGCAGAATAACGGAATTATGTTGGATGTGAAAAAGGCTTAAAAATATTTTTCCCAGTGTCTGTTCTGAATTAAAGTCCACACTGACACTTGAGAGTTCAGTCAACAGCGGTTAGAAAGACTTGAATAACTACAGGTCTGACAAAGCTATCTTCAAATTACAGGACTGCAACAAGAGGAAAAGTTCTCACCTTTAGGGCGTCAGAGCGGTTAGCCAGCAGTTGCTCTATGTTCTTTGAAGCTGTTGCCACCAGTTCTGTGGCATTGTTGGATTCCACACTAAAGTGGGTTCTGTGTTTTTTATATATCTAAGAAAATCACAAAAGAGACAGGGAAGGGTCAGACACAACAAGAACTTTGGATTGTGTTAAAGGGTATAAAAACAACAACTAGAGCTAAAAGTCAGACATGCATCTATCCTTCCAGTTGTTATGCACAAAATTCAAAAGCCAGCATTACAATTAAGTAGTCCTATTATTCATTTCAACCTAAATATTCACTACAATACAGAATACGTTCTAGCATAATGCATTAAAAGGCCAAAGATCCAGTTACTCAGCAGCTGGAAGGCACTCCATTGTCCTGCACACAAATGACAGAGCTGAGGCAGATGACTGCATTTGTCTTCATGGTCCTTGAATTCTGCTACTTTAGTCATACCAAAAAGATAATCTTGTTCACTGCTGACTTTTGTAATGCTTTAAAGTTGACTGATTTTAACTTCAAATGAATCAGAGTGCATGGTAGAGTGCATGGTTGTGGATAAAAAATATGTCATTTTCTCAAACATTGATTTACATACAATTTTGGCCCTCACTTGAAAACATTTTCTGGTTGTATATTGCACAAGCTGACTGGAAATATGTTTCTATTTATAATAAAGGCTATAATGTTTGTTTGATCATTTTAACAGATCAGGCAAATAAAAAAAAAAAAAAAAAAAAAAAAAAAACAACTTAATATTTCTTCAGGTAACATTGTTTCATTTGCTTGTACTACCTTGGTGCTTCTGTATAGTTTTCATGCCCCATTTAGAATAATCAGGGATGTTTCCCTATTCCATTAGGAAAAACTGCTAAAGCTTAGAGAAGTAGGTGTGAAAGCACCCCAATTCTTTAAAGATTGCTCTGGATTTTAGGCCTGTCCTATAAAAACAGAGTAGTATGCCTCTAGACAATTTCTCCAAAACTACTGTATGCATAAAAAAGTTGAAGGAAAATTGCTATCTACCAGAAAAAAAAGACAAAAACACCAAATACCTTTCCACAATAGCTCAGGAGGAGGTTTTTCATGCTTATCCACAGTGTCGCAGCATTTTGCTTATTGCACAGTTTTATCCTTTCAATTTGCTGCTGTTGTCATAAAATCCCAATTAAATACATTGCAGTTTTTGATTAGACAAAAACATTTAATGGATAGTTGGCAAGGTATAATACAGTGAAGGAAACTGAAATGACCTGAGTTGGGATTGAAGTTGAGTCACAGACAGCAAAGTGCTCATTATTTCCTATAAAATCCATTTCTGTTTACCATTTGTTGTAGAAGGAAAACAACATCAAATAGCCTCTTACCTCTATTAGGTCCTGCAATCCACTGGCTTTGTCTGTTAATGTGATCAACTCTTTTTGAATCTGCTCCACCCAGTCTTTTACCCTGTAAACAAAACAAAAATACTGTCTCATTCAGTTGGAAAACCTCCTTTATTACCATATCATATTACCAAGTAAACCAACTTACTAAAATATCCAGACAGACTCAGGGAAGGGAAGCATGAAATATTAATGCTTAGTCAAGGGTATACTGTATATTGCTCTACTTCCCATGAGCTGTGTATTAAAGCAAGAGCTTTCATGGTTTTTAAAACATTACTGCTATGGCCAATGGCTTTAAATGCTAGTTAATGCAAACTCCCCATGATAAATAAATGAAAGAGACATGCAGGAAAATATGGATTTGGAGATTTTATTTGTGTTTTTTTTTTTGGAGTGGGGGAATTTTACACACTAAGAAAAGATGGGAAGATATGGTACACATTTGAGTCAAATGTAATCCATCTTTGTCCTTGTTTTTCCAAAACAGCTCAACCAGTGGCATTTTATGACCTCAGTGTGAAGCCTTCGTCTGCTGATATATATATAAACAGTTAAGAGAACATCTAAACAGCTGTAAATCATATTTCTGCACAGTAACTTTACAGGTGATTATAAGGACAGCAGCTCCTTATAGAGTCACTGACATCCTGTTTAATTATAATTAAATGTTTGTGCTTAAGTGTGTGCAGCATAAGAGATTTAAAACCATGTGATATACGAGATATTCTTTTGCAGGGCACAGTTGGCTTCTAATGTATTGAACTTATAACCTATAGTACACCTACAAGCTTCTGTTCATTATTTGAATTAGACCAACACAAAGTAGGACTATTTCTCAGGCTTTCCTTCGTAAAAAAAAAAAAAAATACTGTAGTGAATCAAACTTAAAGTAGATGCGATTTTTTTTTTTAATGTTGCCTTGAAAAAGCTTCATAGATGCAAAAATATTTATATAAGTTGCTTATGGGGTAATATCTGGCAGTTTCAGAGGCTTGTTTTTACTGATATAATTATATTGCACTGACAGAAAATTGAGACGTATATTGTTTTTTAAGTTTTGGCCCCATTTTCCAGCCCTAATACAAAACTGATATAATTGCAGAAAATACAAAAATAAATAAACCTACAGTATGAAAAATTGCATGTTTAAGTCAGACAGCCTATCATAATTGGAAAAATTAAATTAACAATCATTGTTATGCAGGTTTATTTCCTGATGTGCTATATTTTAAGTTAAGGAGAACATTGTCCAGTGTATGTGTGCAGTTAAACAAGCTGGAATTCAAATCTTAAAGCATTAGTAAAGAAGGTTTTACAATGTATTTGGATTCTGGACCAGTCTAATATTCAACAGATGGTCAACAGATGCTACCACAGTCCATTAGGCTGTTAAACTGGTAACTTTGTGATTCTTTCTCTGCAAAAAATGGAAACTATTTCCACATTAACATTTTTCTAAAGAATGCAGCTTCTTCAGTATTTGAAATAATCTTTAATATTATGAGAGCGTGTCTAATGTTTTAAAGAAATGACCAGTATTTAAGTTATCAGATCAACTGATAATACAGTGTAATATGACCAGCTGAAATGTGGCATAGCAGCCACATATTATATTTAGCCTGCCAAGAGACAGCTGCAAGTGGCTCAGGGCAAATATAGAATGAACTTCATGTCAGCACATTCCCTTTTTTAAACTTCTGCACAACACTTATGTCTGACCTATGCCAGAGGTTTGCAGAAGGGTAAAGGCAACTTACTGCAGTCAAAATTAAACAAATCTTTGTTTATATTCTGGAGTTTATGATGGCATGAAAATGACTTCAGAGTTTGAACATGGTTATCTGAACATAGACAGCTGCATATGGCGCCTTTTAATCAGGAGCTTTTTTTTCTAGCTATACCAGAATTCCTTTTACAAAGAACAAAATGTATAACAGGTGTTTAATGGGAATTAATGTATTGATTTTAGTTAGAAATAATTTAACACTTTTAGTGAACACTTGTTAGGTCAGTCGACCATTTTAAATTCTTACTATATTCAGATTTCATATATTTTCTGCTACCTCCAGCTTTAGGTTGATTAACTGAACTGCTTTATGTACTTCAGCTCACCCCACAATCCATTGATATGTCCAAACCAGTGTTCTAACCACTTAACCCTTTAATTTTTAAAACCTTAGAAGGAGCATTCTTAAGGTCCAACAGACTATCCAATAAATCTGGGACTCCCAACCCTGATGGCACATGTAACATCTTTATGACGATGATTAAACTGCAGGGAAAATCAAGTTATTTTGTTTGCCATGCTACTTCCTATTGGTCGCAGTGATAACGGTAAATTACACCATGAATTGAAGGGTTGATGTATGTTAAAGTTCAGGGATTTGCTCATTTCTACTTTAACAGCCTTTACGGTCAAATTTGTCATGTTTTATTTAAAGTTTTCAATGTGAGGTAGCTTCTGGTATGAATGGTTGTGAAATTGTTACTTTGAATTAACTTATTTTCAGGTAGAATTCTGCTTATAACTCTCAGGGCTTGTTTTAATCAACAACACCTCAACTCCTAGTCTGATGTAATTGCCTTTGGTCCCAGTCCCAGGGTCAGACATTTCAAAGGGGTCTCCATTACTATAGGTCCCAGACTGAAAAAACCTTTGGATCGCTATTTTCAAATCCATACCTGTTTTAAATGAATCCTAAATTCAACACAAAGAAGCAGGTGTTTATAAAGTGAAATATCGATATCTATAAGTTTTTTCAAGCATTCATGAAGATGTACAGCTCTGGCAGTAAATATAGAGATGCAGCTCTTTTTTAAGATAATGTCAAAGTTTATGTAATACAGTTTTTCTACTTTATTTTTCGCAAAAATTATTTTAATATAGAATATTATAAATATAAAATTAATAAGCGATTAAAAACATTTTAAAGAGGTCGTAAAATAACAGTGAACTTCTAAGATGTATCTTGTATCAAATGGTTCTTAAAACTTTTGACTTTTTGACATGAGCCAAACCATTTTAAAGACTACTCGAACAAATGCATACAATTACACATTTTTATTTAGACCTGTGAGGGTAAAATCTAATGATTCTAGATTTTGTAAATATTGTTAGTTAACCTTTTATACTAATTTATTATTGTGAGTGGTTTAATATGGCTCCATTTGCAGGTAAGAAGGTAATTAGAAATTAGACGTGTACAACTGTAATTGCCAATTCTTTAGGTTAATTAGGTCGATTAAACTGATCTTTCAAAGTTATCATTTTAAAATCAATCTTAAAAGACAAGTACATAAAACTCAGTTAAATATGTTTTACTCCTAAATCTCACACAAACTATCCATGTCTCATCAAAGAGTCTTTATAAATAGTGAAGGCTCTAGAAATGGAGGATCTCCCTTCTGTGAAGAAGTTTCATTATGGTCTGATAATGAAGATGTCTAAGGCTCTGCATTATATTTAATCTGTAAAGCATCCTTTCTTTGCCTGCTCTTTTAATAATCTGATTTCATTTTTTTTATTTATTGCCTCTTATTCTGGTATCCACCAGATTATGGAAGTGATTGCACTTCATACAACAGCCTTATACAAGATTTGCAATAACTTGCAAGCACAGAGACTAAACTTTATCAAGTAATATAGTCACAATTTCCCATTAACAGGTTCACAGTTACATAATTTTTTTCTTCCAGGATGAAAACTTTTGACATATTAGTTTTCTCTGAAATCGGCATTCTCTTTTGATTACCTTGTATAATTAGAGGATTGTACCAACACCGTTCACCATTTCTATCTACTGTGTGCCAATGCTACCGTAGCTAGAAAAGTCAAACTTGAAGATAATGAAGCCAGAGAAATCAAAGAGATGTAACATTTTATTAAAAAAGAAAATGTTTCTTCATCACGTCTGTGGTTTCTTCTGCCTCTGATAATGCAAGAGGGGGTGTAAATTCCATCTACTAAGAAATGGCTGTGTTTAATAGCACTGGTGTTCTCTTTAAACTTCTGAGTTACGGATCTGTTAAAAAAATTAAGATGCAGATTGGACAAGAATTGTCCTTCCACAGCCAAGAAACTGAAAATTGGTTGTGGAAGGGTCTTCCATCATGTCAATGACTCCTAACACTGCCAAAGCAGAGAGGTAAAACCAGGGAGTCATAGAAAGTTTGAGCTTGCACCAAGATAAAATCTTTGAGAACTAAACATTTAGTTTGACTGTCAGGGGAAGACTAGTGGGACCAACTCCCAGATTGTGTTTTTTAAAAACCTTAAGATTCAGTATTGATGTCAGATGTGTCACCTTTGACCGTTACTTGGTTTTGCAATCCTCAAATAGCAAAAACACAGGTGAGGAGACCTATATAATATTACAACATATAACACATTTAATGGAGACAAACTCTAATAACAACAAACAGAAATTATAAACCTTCAAAATCCATAAAAAATAAAATGAGTGTCATCGATGCAACAGTCTATTGAACCAAAAACCCTTTAGGGTTATTCATTTGACCCATTGATTCATATTAATTCAGCAGTGTAGAAATTCTGCATTTGTTGTTACAGTTAAACTGGTCATAAATGCTATAATTATATTGCTTTAAGGGTTATATCAATGTTTTTAGGTGTCCTTTGCTTTAATACAGCTCTCACTGTCGATAAAATATAAAGTTGGTGACTGTCACATTCTACTGATGTTAATTTTTTCATAATTTGTGCCTGCTGCTTCTGCCATGTTTTGCTGGCACATACTGTGAATTTTATATTTTTATTGCTTTTAATATTAAAGTGACATTCTCTAAATGAGTATTTAATAACAGAAGTGTAATGGATTTAATTGCAAAGCCAAACAGCACAGCATTTGTGGGGACACCCAGGGCTTTTATGCCCATGGCAAGTCATCCTAGAACATGAAGGCGAAAAGTTCGACCAGTTTCAGAAAGAAATCTTAGACTGTACTCTGAGAAAACTGTCTTTTGAATTAAATTAACGCAAAAAATGTCAAGAAAATCTACCCTTTTCAATATTAGGAAAATTTAATTTTTTAAGATAGCTAA